GTGTCCACCCCCGTGTCCTCCCCGCCACACCACCACCCTCGTGTCCTCCCCGCCACACCACCACCCTCGTGTCCTCCCCGCCACAACACCACCCTCGTGTCCTCCCCGCCACAACACCACCCCCGTGTCCTCCCCGCCACACCACCACCCTCGTGTCCTCCCCGCCACACCACCACCCTCGTGTCCTCCCCGCCACAACACCACCCTCGTGTCCTCCCCGCCACACCACCACCCTCGTGTCCTCCCCGCCACACCACCACCCTCGTGTCCTCCCCGCCACACCACCACCCTCGTGTCCTCCCCGCCACACCACCACCCCCGTGTCCTCCCCGCCACACCACCACCCTCGTGTCCTCCCCGCCACACCACCACCCCCGTGTCCTCCCCGCCACACCCGTGTCCTCCCCGCCACACCACCACCCTCGTGTCCTCCCCGCCACACCACCACCCTCGTGTCCTCCCCGCCACACCACCACCCTCGTGTCCTCCCCGCCACACCACCACCCTCGTGTCCTCCCCGCCACACCACCACCCTCGTGTCCTCCCCGCCACACCACCACCCTCGTGTCCTCCCCGCCACACCACCACCCTCGTGTCCTCCCCGCCACACCACCACCCCCGTGTCATCCCCGCCACAACACCACCCCCGTGTCCTCCCCGCCACACCCGTGTCCTCCCCGCCACACCACCACCCTCGTGTCCTCCCCGCCACACCACCACCCTCGTGTCCTCCCCGCCACACCACCACCCCCGTGTCCTCCCCGCCACACCACCACCCCCGTGTCCTCCCCGCCACACCACCACCCTCGTGTCCTCCCCGCCACACCACCACCCTCGTGTCCTCCCCGCCACACCACCACCCCCGTGTCCTCCCCGCCACACCACCACCCTCGTGTCCTCCCCGCCACACCACCACCCCCGTGTCCTCCCCGCCACACCACCACCCCCGTGTCCTCCCCGCCACACCACCACCCCCGTGTCCTCCCCGCCACACCACCACCCTCGTGTCCTCCCCGCCACACCACCACCCTCGTGTCCTCCCCGCCACAACACCACCCCCGTGTCCTCCCCGCCACACCACCACCCTCGTGTCCTCCCCGCCACAACACCACCCTCGTGTCCTCCCCGCCACACCACCACCCTCGTGTCCTCCCCGCCACACCACCACCCTCGTGTCCTCCCCGCCACACCACCACCCTCGTGTCCTCCCCGCCACAACACCACCCCCGTGTCCTCCCCGCCACACCACCACCCTCGTGTCCTCCCCGCCACACCACCACCCTCGTGTCCTCCCCGCCACACCACCACCCTCGTGTCCTCCCCGCCACACCACCACCCTCGTGTCCTCCCCGCCACACCACCACCCTCGTGTCCTCCCCGCCACAACACCACCCCCGTGTCCTCCCCGCCACACCAGCACCCCCGTGTCCTCCCCGCCACACCACCACCCCCGTGTCCTCCCCGCCACACCCGTGTCCTCCCCACCACAACACCACCCTCATGTCCTCCCCGCCACACCACCACCCCCGTGTCCTCCCCGCCACACCACCACCCCCGTGTCCTCCCCGCCACAACACCACCCTCGTGTCCTCCCCGCCACACCACCACCCCCGTGTCCTCCCCGCCACACCCGTGTCCTCCCCGCCACAACACCACCCTCGTGTCCTCCCCGCCACAACACCACCCTCGTGTCCTCCCCGCCACACCACCACCCCCGTGTCCTCCCCGCCACACCACCACCCTCGTGTCCTCCCCGCCACACCACCACCCCGTGTCCTCCCCGCCACAACACCACCTCGTGTCCTCCCCGCCACAACACCACCCCCGTGTCCTCCCCGCCACACCACCACCCTCGTGTCCTCCCCGCCACCCCCGTGTCCTCCCCGCCACACCACCACCCTCGTGTCCTCCCCGCCACAACACCACCCCCGTGTCCTCCCCGCCACAATACCACCCTCGTGTCCTCCCCACCACAACACCACCCCCGTGTGCTCCCCGCCACACCACCACCCTCGTGTCCTCCCCGCCACCCCCGTGTCCTCCCCACCACAACACCCCCATGTCCTCCCCGCCACACCACCACCCCAGTGTCCTCCCCGCCACACCCGTGTCCTCCCCACCACAACACCCCCGTGTCCTCCCCACCACAACACCACCCCAGTGTCCTCCCCGCCACACCCGTGTCCTCCCCACCACAACACCCCCATGTCCTCCCCGCCACACCACCACCCCAGTGTCCTCCCCGCCACACCCGTGTCCTCCCCACCACAACACCCCCGTGTCCTCCCCACCACAACACCACCCCAGTGTCCTCCCCGCCACACCCGTGTCCTCCCCACCACAACACCACCCCGTGTCCACCCCGCCACACCCGTGTCCTCCACGCCACACCACCACCCCAGTGTCCTCCCCGCCACCCCCGTGTCCTCCCCAGTGTCCACCCCAGTGTCCACCCCGCCACCCCACCGTCCACCCCGCCACCCCACCGTCCACCCCGCCACCCCAGTGTCCACCCCGCCACCCCACCGTCCACCCCAGTGTCCACCCCAGTGTCCACCCCAGTGTCCACCCCGCCACCCCAGTGTCCACCCCGCCACCCCAGTGTCCACCCCACCACCCCAGTGTCCACCCCACCACCCCAATGTCCACCCTACCACCCCAGTGTCCACCCCAGTGTCCACCCCACCACCCCACCACCCCAATGTCCACCCTACCACCCCAGTGTCCACCCCAGTGTCCACCCCACCACCTCACTGTCCACCCCACCACCCCAGTGTCCACCCCACCACCCCAGTGTCCACCCCGCCATCCCAGTGTCCACCCCGCCACCCCAGTGTCCACCCCGCCAACCCAGTGTCCTCCCCACCACAACACCCCCATGTCCTCCCCGCCACACCACCACCCCAGTGTCCTCCCCGCCACACCACCACCCCAGTGTCCTCACCGCCACACCCGTGGCCTCCCCACCACAACACCCCCGTGTCCTCCCCACCACAACACCACCCCAGTGTCCTCCCCGCCACACCCGTGTCCTCCCCACCACAACACCACCCCCGTGTCCACCCCGCCACACCCGTGTCCTCCACGCCACACCACCACCCGTGTCCTCCCCGCCACCCCCGTGTCCTCCCCGCCACCCCCATGTCCTCCCCGCCACCCCTGTGTCCTCCCCAGTGTCCACCCCAGTGTCCACCCCACCACCCCAGTGTCCACCCGACCACCCCCAGTGTCCACCCGACCACCCCCAGTGTCCACCCCGCCACCCCAGTGTCCACCCCGCCACCCTACCGTCCACCCCGCCACCCCACCGTCCACCCCGCCACCCCACCACGCCAGTGTCCACCCCGCCACCCCAGTGTCCACCCCGCCACCCCCACCGTCCACCCCGCCACCCCCACCGTCCACCCCGCCACCCCAGTGTCCACCCCGCCACCCCAGTGTCCACCCCAGTGTCCACCCCACCACCCCAGTGTCCACCCCACCACTCCAGTGTCCACCCCACCACCCCAGTGTCCACCCCACCACCCCAATGTCCACCCCACCACCACAGTGTCCACCCCAGTGTCCACCCCACCACCCCAGTGTCCACCCCACCACCCCAGTGTCCACCCCACCACCCCAGTGTCCAACCCACCACCCCAGTGTCCACCCCACCACCCCAGTGTCCACCCCACCACCCCAGTGTCCAACCCACCACCCCAGTGTCCAACCCACCACCCCAGTGTCCAACCCACCACCCCAGTGTCCAACCCACCACCCCGGTGTCCAACCCACCACCCCAGTGTCCAACCCACCACCCCAGTGTCCACCCCACCACCCCAGTGTCCACCCCGCCACCCCAGTGTCCACCCCGCCACCCCAGTGTCCACCCCGCCACCCCAGTGTCCACCCCACCACCCCAGTGTCCACCCCGCCACCCCAGTGTCCACCTCACCCCACCACCCCAGTGTCCACCTCACCCCACTTCCCCAGTGTCCACCCCGCTACCCCAGTGTCCACCTCACCACCCCAGTGTCCACCTCACCCCACCACCCCAGTGTCCACCTCACCCCACCACCCCAGTGTCCACCTCACCCCACCACCCCAGTGTCCACCTCACCCCACCACCCCAGTGGCCACCCCACCACCCCAGTGGCCACCTCACTGTCCACCCCACCACCCCCAGTGTCCACCCCACCACCCCAGTGTCCACCCCACCACCCCCAGTGTCCACCCCGCCACCCCAGTGTCCACCCCGCCACCCCAGTGTCCACCTCAGTGTCCACCCCACCACTCCAGTGTCCACCCCGCCACCCCAGTGTCCACCCCACCACCCCAGTGTCCACCCCCACCACCCCAGTGTCCACCCCCACCACCCCAGTGGCCACCCCAGTGTCCACCCGGCCACCCCAGTGTCCACCCCGCCACCCCAGTGTCCACCCCGCCACCCCACTGGCCGCCACCCTTGTGTGGACCCCACCGGCCGCCGCCCCTGTGTGGACCCCACCGGCCGCCGCCCCTGAGTGGACCCCACTGGCCGCCGCCCCTGAGTGGACCCCACTGGCCGCCGCCCTGAGTGGACCCCACTGGCCGCCGCCCCTGAGTGGACCCCACTGGCCGCCGCCCCTGAGTGGACCCCACTGGCCGCCGCCCCTGAGTGGACCCCACTGGCCGCCGCCCCTGAGTGGACCCCACTGGCCGCCGCCCCTGAGTGGACCCCACTGGCCGCCGCCCCTGAGTGGACCCCACTGGCCGCCGCCCCTGAGTGGGCCCCACTGGCCGCCGCCCCTGAGTGGACCCCCACTAAGCAGGCACCTAGTGAGCAGGCACCTACTGAGCAGGCACCTACTGAGAAGGCACCTAGTGAGCAGGCACCTAGTGAGCAGGCACATAGTGAGTAGGCACATAGTGAGCAGGCACATAGTGAGTAGGCACATAGTGAGCAGGCACCTACTGAGAAGGCACCTAGTGAGCAGGCACATAGTGAGCAGGCACATAGTGAGTAGGCACATAGTGAGCAGGCACATAGTGAGCAGGCACATAGTGAGCAGGCACATAGTGAGCAGGCACCTAGTGAGCAGGCACCTAGTGAGCAGGCACATAGTGAGCAGGCACATAGTGAGCAGGCACATAGTGAGCAGGCACATAGTGAGCAGGCACCTACTGAGCAGGCACATAGTGAGCAGGCACCTAGTGAGCAGGCACCTAGTGAGCAGGCACCTACTGAGAAGGCACCTAGTGAGCAGGCACATAGTGAGTAGGCACATAGTGAGCAGGCACATACTGAGCAAGCACATAGTGAGCAAGCACATAGTGAGCAGGCACATAGTGAGCAGGCACCTACTGAGCAGGCACATAGTGAGCAGGCACCTAGTGAGCAGGCACCTAGTGAGCAGGCACCTACTGAGCAGGCACCTACTGAGCAGGCACCTAGTGAGCAGGCACATAGTGAGTAGGCACATAGTGAGCAGGCACATAGTGAGCAGGCACATACTGAGCAGGCACCTACTGAGCAGGCACCTAGTGAGCAGGCACCTAGTGAGCAGGCACATAGTGAGCAGGCACCTAGTGAGCAGGCACCTACTGAGCAGGCACATAGTGAGCAGGCACCTACTGAGCAGGCACCTACTGAGCAGGCACCTAGTGAGCAGGCACCTAGTGAGCAGGCACCTAGTGAGCAGGCACATAGTGAGCAGGCACATAGTGAGCAGGCACCTACTGAGCAGGCACATAGTGAGCAGGCACCTACTGAGCAGGCACATAGTGAGCAGGCACCTACTGAGCAGGCACCTAGTGAGCAGGCACCTACTGAGAAGGCACCTAGTGAGCAGGCACATAGTGAGCAGGCACATAGTGAGCAGGCACCTACTGAGCAGGCACCTAGTGAGCAGGCACCTAGTGAGCAGGCACCTAGTGAGCAGGCACCTACTGAGAAGGCACGTAGTGAGCAGGCACATAGTGAGCAGGCACATAGTGAGCAGGCACATAGTGAGCAGGCACCTAGTGAGCAGGCACATAGTGAGTAGGCACATAGTGAGCAGGCACATACTGAGCAGGCACATACCGAGCAGGCACATACCGAGCAGGCACCTAGTGAGCAGGCACCTAGTGAGCAGGCACATAGTGAGCAGGCACATAGTGAGCAGGCACATAGTGAGCAGGCACATAGTGAGCAGGCACATAGTGAGCAGGCACCTAGTGAGCAGGCACATACTGAGCAGGCACATACTGAGCAGGCACCTAGTGAGCAGGCACATAGTGAGCAGGCACATAGTGAGCAGGCACATAGTGAGCAGGCACATAGTGAGCAGGCACCTAGTGAGCAGGCACATAGTGAGTAGGCACATAGTGAGCAGGCACCTAGTGAGCAGGCACCTACTGAGCAGGCACATAGTGAGCAGGCACCTAGTGAGCAGGCACATAGTGAGCAGGCACCTAGTGAGCAGGCACATAGTGAGCAGGCACATAGTGAGCAGGCACATACTGAGCAGGCACATACTGAGCAGGCACCTAGTGAGCAGGCACATAGTGAGCAGGCACCTAGTGAGCAGGCACATAGTGAGCAGGCACATAGTGAGCAGGCACCTAGTGAGCAGGCACATAGTGAGCAGGCACATAGTGAGCAGGCACATAGTGAGCAGGCACCTAGTGAGCAGGCACATAGTGAGCAGGCACATAGTGAGCAGGCACATAGTGAGCAGGCACCTAGTGAGCAGGCACATAGTGAGCAGGCACATAGTGAGCAGGCACATAGTGAGCAGGCACATAGTGAGCAGGCACAAAGTGAGCAGGCACATAGTGAGCAGGCACATACTGAGCAGGCACATACTGAGCAGGCACATACTGAGCAGGCACCTAGTGAGCAGGCACCTAGTGAGCAGGCACATACCGATACATAATTTGTATATACATCACATTAACATCAAAGAGTTCCGTTGTCGGGGACAGGGAGCCTGCGTGTATATATAGTGTAGGCCTGTACGGAGGTGTCCCCCGTGACAGGGAGCCTGCGTGTATATATAGTGTAGGCCTATACGGAGGTGTCCCCCGTGACAGGGAGCCTGCGTGTATATATAGTGTAGGCCTATACGGAGGTGTCCCCCGTGACAGGGAGCCTGCGTGTATATATAGTGTAGGCCTGTACGGAGGTGTCCCCCGTGACAGGGAGCCTGCGTGTATATATAGTGTAGGCCTATACGGAGGTGTCCCCCGTGACAGGGAGCCTGCGTGTATATATAGTGTAGGCCTATACGGAGGTGTCCCCCGTGACAGGGAGCCTGCGTGTATATATAGTGTAGGCCTATAAGGAGGTGTCCCCCGTGACAGGGAGCCTGCGTGTATATATAGTGTAGGCCTATACGGAGGTGTCCCCCGTGACAGGGAGCCTGCGTGTATATATAGTGTAGGCCTATACGGAGGTGTCCCCCGTGACAGGGAGCCTGCGTGTATATATAGTGTAGGCCTATAAGGAGGTGTCCCCTAGGACAGCACTAGCGGCTCCCCAAGACGGGCCCCACAACACTTCGCTAACACCACGCTACCTACCTACGCTACAGCTACCTACCTGTTTACTACTAGGTGAACAGAGACATTAGGTGAAAGGAAGCGTGCCCAACCAGTTCTGTCCCGCCTGAGATTACTCATACCACACTCAGAGTAAATTATGATTGAACAGGTGTCTCGATAATTAATAAAACATGACCAACGGTTTTTTTGTCTATAGCATTTCCGTAGAGAAATACTATAGACAACTGTTGCGGCAGCTGTCAGCCAACACTTGTGACGCACCTTTACTGTCGCTGTCAGCAGAGGGAGACGATGGTGACGACGTGTCCACTGTATGGTGAACAGAGTACCAGGTTGAGGAGAGAGACCGGCCGCACGCACCCTTCACCACACCTCGAGCAACACTGAGTAACTGGCTCTTTCTCACATGGTTGGGACCCCTTGCCTGTGACGTCACGCCGCCACGTGTTTTTGTTTACAAGCTGATCAGATGAGAGTTTTGAACTTGATCGGTTTTTATAACATTCACTGACAACATTGGTTCATTGAGTCATATATTTATTGTGCACCCTATACCCATCCCGTGAGGGGAAGTGGAAAGGGTTACAGAGCAACATAATGGGTTCAAGAACTGAACTTATTATGTTTATTATGTAAGAACGACTATGCAAATGACTATGCAGACGATGAGTCACAATAACGTGGCTGAAGATATAATGATCAAACCACACATGAAGAGACGACGACGTTTCTGTCCGTTCTGGACCATTATCAAGTAATAACATAATAATTTATTTACAAGAAGGTACAATAGGTTGGTGAGATTACATTCGTGATATTTACATTCGTGATAAAATTGCACTGTATCTATTGCTACCCAATCTCCCTATCTTTATGTACCCAATCCGAACATCTTTACCAATGTGATCATTACTGTCTTCTTATATGTGCTATCAATTTTGCTGTACGGTGTCTGTTAATCTTGTTTAAATTACCAATCAAGTTGTCAATGTAATTTAATATACCAATGTGCTTAAATATACTTACTATTCTCTCTCATCTCATTTTTTTCTTGCAATGTATCTGTTATCATTTGATTAATTCTGCTAGAATTTACCTACTTAAAATTATCTGTTAGATTAAAGGACCTGCCCGAAACGCTGCGCGTACTAGTGGCTTTACAAGATTGTAAATACTATGCTATATGTATTCTCTCTAACCCAATGTACCTTCTTGTATATAAATAAATAAATAAATAAATGTAAGATAGGGAGAGATTAGTGCATAGTATAATGAGAGGAGAGCAGAATTGGGAACATTATATCTAATTTTAGAAAGTATAGCGACCGTTTTTGAAACTTTTTGTGTGATGTATTATATGAGGGTGCTGAAGTTGAGTCTCTTGTCTATGTATAGGCCATGGAACATTTTTATCTTAGGGGGGTAGAAATAGCCTAAGCTATTCTATCCCTTTGAGATGTATTTTTTTTCTTGTCTCAATAAACTTACTTGAACTTGAACATTTTTACCATTTTTATTTATTTATTTATTTATTTATTTATTTATTTATTTATTTATTTATGCATATACAAGAATGTACATAAGGAATGTGAGGATACAAATATGGTAATTACAGTCTTGTAAAGCCACTAGCACGCGCAGCGTTTCGGGCAGGTCCTAAATCTAAGAAAATTTTAAGGAGGTAAATACTTGCAAAATTTATAGACAAAAAAATGATAACAGATTACATGAAATGAAAAAAAAGAAGATGAGAGAAAATTGTAGGAACAGTATATTAAAGCCCATAGGTAGCTAAAATTGATTGCAATGACAGCTTGAATGGTAGTTGACAAGAAATTGGTAGGCACAATACAGCAGAAACAATATAAGATTGATTGCAATGACAGCTTGAATGGTAGTTGACAAAAATTGGTAATCACAATACAGCATATGGCTAGCACATAAAAGAAGACAGCAATGAACACAATGATAAGGTTGTTTGATATTACATAAAAATTAGAAGATTGGGTAACACTAGGTACAGAGCAAATTTAAAGCTCAGTGTAGGAAACTAAGAAGATGAAGTTAGGTACTTTTTGGTTTTGCTTTTAAATAAGGCAAAAGTTTTACAGTTTTTCAATTCACTAGGGAGTGAGTTCCATAGACTAGGTCCCTTAATTTGCATAGAGTGTTTACACAGATTAAGTTTGACCCTGGGGATATCAAAGAGATATTTATTTCTGGTGTGGTGATAATGGGTCCTATTACATGAGTCCAGGGAGAGTTTCAGAGCATGGTTTGCATTTAAGAACAGGGTTTTGTAAATGTAGTTGACACAAGAGAATGTGTGGAGGAAGTTAATATTTAGCAAGTTTAGGGATTTAAACAAGGGAGCTGAGTGTTGTCTGAAAGCAGAGTTAGTTATTATTCTGATAGCAGATTTTTGCTGTGTGATGATGGGCTTAAGGTGGTTTGCAGTGGTAGACCCCCATGCACAGATACCATAATTAAGATAGGGGTAGATTAGTGCATAATATAGTGAGAGGAGAGCAGAGTTAGGAACATAATATCTGATTTTGGAGAGTATACCAACTGTCTTAGAGACTTTCTTAGTTATGTGTTGAATGTGGGTGCTGAAGTTGAGTCTCTTGTCTAGGAATAGGCCAAGAAACTTGCCATCATTTTTATTACTGATGTTAATGTTGTCTATCTGTAGCTGAATTGCATTTGATGATTTGCTTCCAAATAAGATGTAGTAAGTCTTTTCGATGTTTAATGTTAGTTTGTTCGTTGACATCCATAAGTGGACTTTTTTAATTCATTATTCACAACATTATTTAGTGTATGTGGGTTGAGGTTTGAATAGATAAGGGTAGTATCGTCAGCAAACAATATAGGTTTGAGAATATTAGAGACATTAGGCAGATCGTTTATATATATAAGAAATAGAAGAGGTCCTAAGATGCTGCCCTGTGGCACTCCAACGGTAATTGGTAGAGTGGAAGAAGTTGTATCATTGATGGTTACATATTGGTGTCTGTCACTAAGATAGGATCGGATGTAGTCAAGGGCAAGGCCTCGGATTCCATAATGCTGGAGTTTAAGTAAGAGGTAGTTGTGATTAACAGTATCAAAGGCTTTTCTTAGGTCAATGAAGAGTCCAATCGGAAACTCATTTTTGTCAAGGGCTGAGTAGATAACGTCAAGGAGACTAATGATTGCATCGTTGGTGCTCTTTTGGGACCGGAAGCCAAACTGGCAGGGGCTGAGTATGTCGAATTTTACGAGGTAGGAATAGAGCTGTTTGTAAATAATTTTTTCAAATATTTTTGATAGAATGGGTAGATTTGATATTGGTCTATAATTGTTTATGTCCGCCGGATTGCCTCCTTTATGGACTGGCGTTACTCTTGCTTTTTTGAGGATATCAGGGAAGGTGTGACACTTTATAGATTTGTTGAACAGTAGTGCTATGGGTGGGGCAAGGGCATGGGAGGCTCTCTTGTACACAATGGACGGAATTTCACTGGTGTTCCCTGCCTTGGTTTTTAGAGAGTGTATGATGGACACAACATCTGCCGGGCTGATTGGTGAAAGGAGAAGAGAGTTTGGATACCTGCCTGAGAGATATGTGTTAATATGTGTCTGAGTCTGTGGGATTTTACTGGCAAGATTAGCACCAACCGATGAAAAGAAACTATTAAATTCATTTGCCATTTCTAAATCAGTTGACGGTATATCCCCATCCTTGTAGAGTTTTATTTGGTTATGTGAGTGTTGTTTAGTTCCTAGGATACTAGAGATTGTTTTCCAAGTGCTTTTCATGTTGCCTTTTGCTTCATTGAATCTATTCACATAATATGCAAGTTTTGCCTTTCTTATGATACTGGTAAGCATTGATGAGTACCTTTTAGCTACTTCCTTTGAAACTAGGCCAATCCTAAGTTTCTTTTCATATTCATGTTTCTTGTTGATTGAGTTGAGAATGCCACTTGTGAGCCATGGATTGTTTAATCTTTTGTCAGTTACTTAAAAAAATAAAAAAAAATAAAATATTTATTTAGGTAAGGTACATACATACAATAAATTTTTACAAAGATTGGTTGACTTATAGGTAGAGCTAGTACATACAATGCCTAAAGCCACTATTACGCAAAGCGTTTCGGGCATGATAAACTTAAATGACAAGCTTAATACTAATTGAGCATAATGAGTAGAATGAAAACAAGAAATGAAAACATAGATGAAAAAGCAGCACAAATACAATTAAGTCGACAAACAGCGCTCTTTAAAGAAAAACAGACATTGGTTGACACTAGAAGGGTAAGGTAGGTTACAGGGAATTTATTAGGTATAGACAGGCGATGAGTCACAATAACGTGGCTGAGGTATGTTGACCAGACCACACACTAGAAATTGAAGGGACGACGACGTTTCGGTCCGTCCTGGACCATTCTCAAGTCGATTGTGATGAGGAGATGATTGATGAAGATTAAGCCACCCAAGAGGTGGCACGGGCATGAATAGCCCGTAAGTGGTGGCCCTTTCGAGCCATTACCAGTATCAAAAGATGATACTGGAGATCTGTGGAGGCGCAACTGCACCCTGCGTGACGGGAGATGTCTCCCGGACCAAGTGGTGACCAAATGGTGTGATGAGGAGGTAGGGACAGGCAATAAATAGGCAAGAGAGAGCTGAGGAGGAAAGTCAGGTGTAGGGGATAGTAGTAATGAGAACTGCAGCAGGCCTATTGGCCCATACGAGGCAGCTCCTATTATAACCACCGAAGGAGATAGTAATAGGAAAAAGAAGAGGATAGCAAGGGAGCGTAGGAGAAGACAATGAACAGAAAAAGGGAGAAGAGAGAAAGAAAAGGAAAGAGAAAGAAAGAAATGGAAGGGGGAAAGCTTATGTTAAGTCACGTTTGTTAGAAAGATTAGAGCATTTGAGTATATACTGTGAAAGGGAAGAGTCCACAGCAACAAAGCCAGGACTCAAGTTCATGTTGGGTACATTGTTTATAAGAGCCGATTCTACAAGACGGCGTCTGTGTAGAGTAGAGGCAGGAAAGATTATTTTGGAGGAAGACCAATCAATGGGATGATTAGAATCCCTCACATGGCAGAAGAGAGCATTGTTAGTGTCTGCAGACTTAACACTTCTCTTGTGTTCTTTAAGTCTGTCATTCAGTGTACGGCCAGTTTCGCCAAAGTATTGGAGAGGACAAGATGAACAGGAAATAGAGTAGACACCAGCAGCATTAGAAGCAGGAGGAGCAGTGTGAACTAGATTGCTACGAAGTGTGTTAGTTTGTCGAAAGGCGAGTTTAATGTCAAGAGGACGAAAGGTATTGGTAAAAGTTTTGAGTTCACATATGAAGGGAAGGCATAGTACAGTGCTACTAGTGTTGGAAGCAGGT